CCCAAACAAAAAAAAAAAAAAAAAAAAAAAAGAACATGTGCTTGACTGGGTGTGGTGGCTCAAGCCTGTAACCCCAGCACTTTGGGAGGCTGAGGTGATGGGACTACAGATGCACACTACGATGGCCGGCTTATTTATTTTTTTAAATTTATTGTAGAGATGAGCTCTCACTAAGCTGCCCAGCTGGGTCTCGAACCCCTGAGCTCAGGCAATCTTCTCATCTCAGCCAGCTGACCAAAGTGCTGGGATTACAGGCCTGAGCCACCGCGCCTGGCCTTTCCACACTATTGCCAACTTTGGTTATTAATTTTTTTGTCTCTGCCAAACTGTCACTTTGATTGCTAGTGAGGTTAAATATCCTTTTATATGTTACTGATGATTTGTATTTTTTCCTTTGAGAATTTCCTGATTCTTCTGTTTTTTATTTGGTTGTTTTTTCTTATTGGTTTGGAGGAATTCTTTATATTTCAAGATTAAAAAGCCCTTAGATTTTCATACATATTGTAAATGTTTTTCCAAGTTTTATTTGACTTTGTTTCTTTTTTCTTCTTCTTGCCATATGGAAGTTTGTATTTTTATGTAATCAAATCCATGCATCTTTTTTTTCTTGGGTTCTAATTTTGGTATCATGTTTAGAAAGTCCTTCTCCATCCAGAGAGTATAAAAAGATGTAGGAAATCTAAAGATGTGTGTAACTTTGTAACAGATGTTGGATCTGACTTTTTGAATAATTTCATAAGCAGGACTCTTGTAAGGATAGGGATTAGAAGAAGAAAACCAGAGAAAATCATGCTTTGTTCTTCTTTCTCCTTCACTCTCTTTACTCCTTTTTATTCTGATAAAATTAGGTTTAAATAATGTTAAGGATTGCCATAAAAACAATAACTTAAATCACTGAAGTATGAGCAGACGGGATAAAAGAGAAACAGAGATGGGGGAAATGAATAAAACCACTAGTTTTCTGTAGTTTCACAATGTTTCATCTCTGTGTCACATAATATTGCATACCTCAACAGAACCATTAATAACAAGAACCCAGAGATGCTCTTCTACCTCCAAAGAGCCAAGCAAATTACACTACTATGATGTCTATGTTCAAAGGCAAGCTAACATGAAGAAAATAAAGCATCAAAGGTACATCAGGTTAATGCAGATTAAGAACACACTGAGGCACAATTTCCATGTAAAGTTACAGGGCTAGTCATATACTGGAGTGCTGTTATTAGTTTGCTTTCTTTTGATCATAGACTAGGCAGGATATGAAGTCAAGTCGGAGCAATTAGCAGTTCTTGTCTGTGCAGACAGGGTGATGGCTGCAAACCCAAAGACAATAAATAAATAAATGTAAGCAGTGTAGAAACGATTTACCAGTATTTTCAGTTTTTGACACAAATAGTAAAAACATAAAAGCTGTTGACAAAAGATGCCAGACTTCGTAAAATATTTAAGGTGATTTATTCTGAGTCAAATGAACTTAGGCTCCTGAGGTTCTGAGAACATATGCCCACTGTGGTTGAACTGTAGACTGGTTGTACACACTTTAGGAGGACAGAAGTTAAAGAAACCATAAGTCAATACATGTGAGATTTACACTGGTTTGGGGGCGGGTAGGGAGGAGGTCTCCAAGTGGGGCTTGTAGGTTGCAGGCAGATGCAAAGATTTCTTTCTTTTTTTTTTTTTTGAGTTGGAGTCTCACTCTGTCGCCCAGACTGGAGTGCAGTGGCTGCGCCTGGCCACCGCAGCCTCGACCTGCTGGGCTTCGGCGATCCTTCCGCCTCAGCCTTCCGAGGAGCCGGAATCACAGTCATGCACTACCACGCCCGGCTGATTTTTTGATTTATTGTAGAGATGAAGTCTCGCTGCCCAGGCGGGTCTCGAACCCGCGGGCTCAGGCAATCCACTCACCTCAGCCTCCCAAAGGCGAAGGATTACAGGCTGAGCCACCGAGCCCAGCTTATTGTTGGGATTTTAACTGGGATGATATTGAGTCTAGAAGTCATATTGGGAAGAAACGACATCTTGACCCATTCTGAGTCTTTCTTTCCAGGAATACGCAACCTTTTTCCATTTATTTAATTCTTTGATTTATTTCATCAGAGTTTTGTAGTTTTCTTCAAGTAGACTTTGTACATCTTTGCTAGGTTTATACCTAAATCTTTCATTTTGTGTGGACACTAATGTTAATAGCGCTGTGTGTTTAACTTCAAATTCAACTTGTTTATTGCTGGTATCTAGAAAAGTGATTAACTTTTATATAAAGACCTGTATCCTGCAACCTTGCTATAATTGCTCATTAGTTTCAGGAGTTTTTTGATGGATTTTTTTCAGATTTTCTACATAGGCAATCATGTCATCTACAAACAAAGGTAGTTTTGTTTCTTCCTTACTAAATCTGTATACCTTTTTTTTTGTCTTACTGCATTAGGTAGGACTTCTGGTACAATACAAAAAAGCTATTGTGAGCCAAGACTTTCTTGCGTTTTTTTTTTTTTTTTTTTTGAGTTGGAGTCTCACTCTGTCACCCAGACTGGAGTGCAGTGGCTGCTCCCGGCTACTGCAAACTCGACTTGCTGAACTCTGGCGATCCTTCCACCTCAGTCTTCCAGGTAGCTGGAACTACAGGCGTGCCCTCCCACACCTGGCTAATTTTTGATTTATTGTAGAGATGTGGTCTCGCCAAGTTGCTCCGGCGGGTCTTGAACCCGCAACTCAGGCAATCCACTCACCTCGGCCTCCCAAAACGCTGGGATTACAAAGTGCTGGGATTACAGGCTGAGCCACCGAGCAGGCCGGGAGTCAAGTTTCTTGATGTGTAAGGTGAAGACTCATAGGTGGCAGATCTCAGAGAGAATAGGTATGAGTCTTAAAAGGTGCCTGGAGTCTGAAAGTCCTCAAGAGACAGCTTTACAGGGTCATAAAATACTTTGGTTTTCCTTCTTTATCTGTTCTGTGATGTGATGCCAGAGGCAGGTTGGAAAGCAAGTCTCATTATATAGGAGTTAATAAAAAGCCTGTCTCCCCAGGCCCCTTAGT